TCTTATCAACAGAAGTGAGCCTAAACGTTCCACCGACAACATGCGCTGGAATTCAAAACGGTTGAATTTGTCATCTTTACAGGACAATCCACATCAGATGGATTAGAAAGTTCCCCCTCAACTTGATGTTGATGCTCATTTTGGTTTCTTTCTGCTCGTGTTCTTATGTCCTATAAAGCAGTCTGTTCGGTGAACGGTCTCTAAAATCTACAAGCAACCTAAAGTCACCAAGAATTCTACTTTTGATATGCTAAGACGCAGAAAGCTCTAATGTGTTGAATACAAACGAACTAGTAACTACAGTGCACATGGGCAATTCAAATAAGTGAGGAACATACGTACAAAGGCAACAAGAGAATATAAACTTCAGTATCAGATAAAGCTAATCGATAGATTCGTCTCCAATCCGAGGAGCTCATTCTGTCATGCATCCTCTTTCTTCGACAAGCCAAAACCGGAGTTTTCTAACTTCTAGCTTCTAATGGCTCAATCAGCAGTGAAGGTGACGCCACCGGCCTTCTGGCAGAACAGTACTCCAGGAAATTTCAACTGACCCACGCTAGCTATGTTGATGAGAGCTTCATTTGGAAATCCACAGGACTTTCAGAAGTGAACCTGGAGGCTGGCTAGGCATATCAGAAACTGCAGCACTTAAACAAGGACACTTCTGCTGACCCGAATATGGTCAATCCTGCTATATTGAGGTAAGTGGCTTCACTCTTGACGACACAGCTCAGCCTGATGTTCTTACACTCGCTAAGCTTAGGCACATTACCAGAAAATTGGAAGCTGGCTCACATCAGACTAATTTTCACAGAGGGTCGACTCAGAGAAACTTCAAGCTACTGACCGGTGGCTCTTTTTTCTATATTCTGAACATTTATGGAGTCCCTGATATGCGACGGTATACACGACTATTTATTATCCTTAAACTTCTTTTCACCCCAACAGCCTGGTTTCAGGAATGGTCAATATTAACTTTACCTTATCTCAGACTGCCGAATAACCTAATGGGGGCCCCAGGGTCCAGTACTAGGACCCCTTCTCTTCTTGATTCATATAAACGATCTTCCACGACAAGTATCGCCAGAGTGAATATATTTTGCTGATGATGTGAAACTCTGAAGAGGATCTTACTCGACTTCAACATTGGGCAGATGACAACGGACTTACCTTTAACACTTCGAAACGTAAAGTAACCCATCTGAGACGTGTTGCAGAATACAAATTCAACTTAGGTCACTCTACTCTAGAGGTCTCTCAAGTTGGTACATTGCGATCATAAGTCATATGCTAATTGCAACAAAAATGCCTTCCGAATAAACCTTGTAGTGGTAACGTTGAAGTCAGTATAGCCAGTTCGTCGGAAGAACCGTCCACATAATCTTTAACAGTCTTATTTGTCCCTATTTAGAGTACGGAAATATAGTACTTCCTTCTCACTCTAAAAGGATAAGTACACTCTGGATCGCATCCAACGAAATCAGTTAGGTTCAAGTCTTGTGGAAAGCGCCTCCAGTCACCGAACCCTTATCTACTGGAGTACAGGCGTCTTAGAGGTGACTTCATAACGACACTACTGGACATCTCCTTAAACACCTATCTAAGCTTAGTCCCAAGACAAATCTAAGAGGTAACACCAAAAAACAAAGATACAACACAGCAGAATTGACTTTAGGCACACCTTCTACTCCTTGAGAGCAGTCAAACTACGGAATTTGTTTCTGGTTGAGTCAGTCCAAGCGACTTCACAGGAGACCTTTAAGAGAAAACTTGACATATTCTTAAGGAGTAATGACAGTATTTCGCTATGATTTACCATCTCTTGTTCTTTTTCCTCTTTTATCGAAAATATACCTAGGTTCCCACCTGAAGGCACCGGCGGTTCACCGATACTAGATTCAAGAGCCCGTTAGGTAAAGGGTTCTTCTATCCCATCTAAACTCATTTGATCCATTTGAACAACTGATTCGGTTTATTAATGGAGGTATTTACAAGTGTTGCGGTACTTGTTAGTTTGGTGAGCCTTGTTACTTGCTCAAAATTGCAGTTCTAAATGTTCTGTTTTCAATTAACAGGCGGTTGTACACTTTAATTAGTTTAAAAATACAGTTTTTTATATTGTTTTTGCCTGGACCTGTCTGTAAAATAAGCTAGTGTATATGAATTATAGAAAAACACATGAAGTAAAAGTATGCTACACTGAAGGACTTATCAGCAAATCATGAGACGTCATTTGGCTACAAAAAACTCCAGAAAAACCCACAAAATTTTTGTAGAACATTCCATGGCAATTGTTATATGTAATTATATTGTATTTATGATGTGATTAACTAACCTTTACATGCTGAGTTATTCATTATAGTTGTAAAACAATGCTCGCTTTAAATAATAGGACTTAGACTTGTGTTGTGAGTAGGGTCGGTAACCCTTTAAAGTTTCGTCTTCATTAACTACATCCTCCGCTATGCGAAAGGTGAGTGTTAGGAACGATGAGTTGATCTGTGGTAGTGAGTCAGGATTACTGGCCCGGGCTATGGGGCGGCTTCGGGCATCATTTACTAGCTCGCCCATACGTTTGCGCCTAAAGTTGAGGTTAGGGATGAGGTTGAGTTAATAGTAAAAGTGGGAGCATGGCTTAATTAACGTTTTGGCATTATAACTGACGTCAGTTTTTGACGAAAACTCTTACTGTAGTTTTCAAATCCATGCTATTATTCTAATCTCCCACGAATTTATAATCCCTTCACGGCCCCAGTATGTAGTTGACTCCTCTCAAGGTCACTCTGGTGTCCCCTAAAATTCTTCCATTACTTTTAGTTTAACCGTCATCAAGCATTAGTTTGGATTCCGATCTCTCAGTTGTGTCCTTGAAATAATTGTGAACAATAGAGTAAAATCATTGGTAACAAGGCCCGAACTGTTTGTAGTAGCGCAAGTCAAGTCTTAAGCATACCAATATTCACTAGTTTATGCTCACTGATGTCAATTGTTCTTCGACTTTTACTATTCAATCCTTTACTACTTGCGTTTTCATAATCTTTACGTCCTCTTTTTTTGCTTCCATCAACCTTATTTCCTTGTGGTACGAGGTGTGAAAACTGAGATTGTTGAGTGTTTGTATCAGGTCTTATGTTAATGTCCGTCTGTCTATCCGTTTGCGATACTCCCAGACATAGCTATTTAAAATGTACCCTTTATGGTCAATTCTTGTCATAGTATAGCTTACTTAACTTGACAGGTGCAATTTATTATTACGCAACGTGGCCTAAAATCAATCGTAGTTACATGTACTTATTTTTCTATCTTGAAGGACTTGAGTTCCAATGTTATCTTTGTCCTACTATTCTCCCATTTCATTCGTTTTATTGGTAGGAAATCCAATATTTACCGAATGTACGGCAGTAATGAGCTAATAAGGACTCTAAAAGTCATTGTTTTTAAACTTACAGGTCCCGTGAGTAAAGTTGAGTTTTTAGATCAAGGGTTCCAGTTTCTAGGGGCTGGATCTCAAAGACGAATTTCTATAAAATATCTTCTGTTAGGCATGAAATAAACATTTTTACCTGCTAACTAGCTGGCCTTTTAATTTGAGCCTTATTAGTTGAAATTGTGCTTGTTTTATGTTATTGCATGTTGTGTGGAATCGTATTAACGAGTAATATACGATATAAACAACAATAACAATGGAAGAAGCAGCTTAGTTAGGAAAAATAAAACCAGAAAGAATTCTTTGAGTCAAAGAAGTTACGTTCACTTTTGTGAATAAAGTAAAATAAAGTTACAGCAGGATCGCCACTGGTTTTTATTCTGAGTCATAAATGATAACTTCTCTAGCCACATTAACACTAAGAAGGTGCCAAAGGTGAGCCAGATTAAAATAAACCGCTCTGGCTTTCATTATACTTGAATTTATCCCATCAACCACGTCACCGACGGCACTTAGCTACCTAGATACACAAACTTCTTGACTACTTTTATCGAAAGGAGCTGACTCTCCTCACCCTCGAACGTACCAGAGAATTCGGGGGAAATATTTAAGGCATATTATAGTATAGCGGTCAGCTTCACACAACTACATGCATACTCGAATTTCTGTATACATAAATAAATCTAACTGACTGCTTAAATCAAACTAAGTGCAGGAGACCTTAAATTTGAGGTCGTATGCTCGAAATTCGAGTACATTTACCAGTAATCCGCCACTTCTCAAACTTTCCGTATCTCCAAGCAATTATTTTAATTCATTGTCTACTACTAATTAGCTTGAAGGTGAATGTTTCATCTAATTGTCTTGTTCCCGTATGTTATTAATGCGATAGCTTAGTGGTTAAGGCGTTCAACTTTCAGCCGCTAAGCCTCAGGTTTGAACATTACTCCACTTACTTCGGTTTGGGAAACTGGGCAATGTATCACATGCCCTTAAAATTAGTTTAGCTCGAAGTCAAGTACACTAATCGGTACCTGGTCAATGGTTTAAATGAAATTTCCAGCTGTTAAAGTGTATGGATCTATGCAGTTGTTTGTAAATTTATCCAACTATAATGGACAATGTGATTTCACGGGTACACAAGTAAAGTTCATGAAGAGAAATGATATGAAATAGTGAGATGAGATTAATTACGGATTCATATCGTATGGGCCGATAACAGTCCCATTGGTTTTCTGACAAACAGCAGTTTGTTACACATGTTCTTTTTTTCATTTTTATTTGTTGCATATATCCTAATACTTGTACTTAGTTTCCCTTTTATGAATCCACATTACTTTCTTGTTTAGAGGGCGTAAACAGACCAACTTCATTTTGAATGATCGAATAAGTATTCCAAATCAGTTTGACAAATGCCGATGTGTGTGTATGTTGACTGTAATGACAGTTTATTATAATCGAACAGTAAACTCATAAAACGAATCAAGTAATTACGATTTTTCTGTTAAAAATTTCATTTATTTTCACAGAATATTTGATACTAGGAAAACGATTTGATATTATATAAACAATGTCTTGTCGACCTCAACTAATTGGCAGATCACCTTTGGGACAATTGAAGTCCGAAGGATTATTAACATCGTTAGTATTATTGTTGTGTTTTACTTTTCAAAATATATTCCTTAAATATATTACCGATAATAATAATAATTATTATTAATATCATAGATTTTTATTACTACTTTATCTGTTTCTCAATGTTCTATCTCTTTTTTATACTTTAGAGAATGTAAATATCATTCATGTCAAGGAAAACTAACCATTCCAAATATCTGTCAAGATTTGGTATGTCAATTCAAATTGACTTCATAAAGGAATTTAAGCTATCAGTTATAGTCTATATGTTTTAGAAAATTTCATAATATCTTATATTCCTTTTTGTTAACCAGAGAAAGGCTAATAAAGAAGCTCAACTAATTCTTCCTACTATTTCTTTGTTTATCTTCTCTACTCTATTATATGCTTTTTTTAAGCTGACTATTCTCATACACTTCATATTGCGTAATTTTAAGGATGAATTATATTAGATAATCTTTTTTAAAAGCTTTAATCTACTTTTACCATATCCATATATCCATTCATGGTATCTTACTATTTATTATTTGTATGTTTCTATGTCTATCACCTTACAATCGACGTATACTTTTGCTTATTATTAGTAGTTATGTAGTCACTTTTCATTGTTACTATTGACTGATAAATTGCCTTGATTAGTCTTATATTTTCAATGTATACACATAGATATTATAGTATCTTAAAGTTAAGCTTTCTGGAAATCTAATTGAAAGAAATATTGTTATTCTCCATTAGTCATAGCTCACTAAAATTCGGAAATTATATTTCGAAGTGAGCACATGGCTGAAGTTGATAATGTAAACCATTAAATCCCAACGCACTATTCTGAAGGTTGGGTCGTTGATGCCTGCTACTAATGTGTCCCATATTAGGATGAAGTAGCTCTACAATGCTTCCTGGCTTCTGATAGTTGTCTAACTGAGGTCAAACCTTGATACAGACTGGGAAATTCAGCCATCTCCACAAACCACCTTCAATGGTAATAATTATGTGGTCACTAGTGACTTATTTTGAGAAGTAATTCCTGGAGTTTCAGTCGGATACTGTGATCGGTGTAGTCTACTCATGTTAGATGTGAGGCAGTTATTCACGAAAGCAATTTTATCCACCTATATGTGCTGTTTGGATTTATTTCCACTTTTTTATGCCCTTTTTTCGAATTAGAAATTTTCAACTGATGATCTTATGGATGAAGGAGAAATTGGTCGAGGAGCATATGGATTTGTTAATCGTATGGTTCATAGACCTACGAAAACAGCTATGGCAGTTAAGGTATATATATATATATAACTGATAAGTTCGTTTCTCCATTTTTTCGTGATTAGGTTTTGCAATTAACACAAAGATATACTGCCTGATACAAGATTATGTGACTTGAAGCATTCCCATGATCTCTAATGATAATTACAATCAGATGTACCATTCATCTATTTTAGATCTTAGAATATTTGTTCAACGTATATATTTATGAAATCGAGATTTTATTCTAATGTAGATGAGTAGTTATAAAGCAGTGGTTTGGTGATTTTAAAGCGCTCAGTCTCAAGAGTCACTCAACCCACTTTGATTTTGACAGTCGGTTAGTATCGTCAGCTCTCAAATACAAAACATTTAACTAAAAACCTAGTGGATAAATCTGTCAATCAGTCATAAGTGATGTAGAAAATAAAGCTGAAGAGTATCGGTCCAATTTATTACGCTCCACATGAAATTGGTAAAGAAAATTGACAAGATAAGAAACGAAGAGCGTAAAAATCATAGTACGAACGACAATCCAAACTAAACATCAAAAAATTAGAATGAAAGATTTAGAGTCATATTAATGTTCAATATTTAACGGAAAGACGAAGATTGAATTTTATTACACAATTGGAATCACAAGCTACATTACCAAATACTAAGCTCTATTTTGTCGAAAGAACAGAAAAGAAAACACGAATTTTATCAAATTCGATTCCATTGTAGAACAATCACTCTTTTTTGTCCTTTGTTTATCTTAGTAAAAAAAAACGTTGGTCATGTTGTGACAACGAAAATCTTATTGTTTTAGAAATGTTTCAATGCACTCGTTGAAATCTCCCTTACACGACTCAGTTGCTCTCATTGTTTGATATTTTTCGGACACCTTACTGCACTTGACTAGTCCCCATATAAGAACGTAATTATATTCCAAGTAAACAAAGTTTAATGGGACTAAGAATCACAATAAGAAAAACGTTAGTGTACTTATAATTTTGCACGAGAAGTTTCTAGTTCTCTTCAATTATTTGCCAGTGGTGATTGTCTAAAAAATGTCCAGTCAACGTGCTTCAACACAATCCTGCATAGAACATGCATTAATCTAATCTATATACCTCTAATACCTCCCTTGTGAGTAGATTTGTTGGATCTAGTGTTAGCGTCCACCTGCAACCATGTGACTCGTGTGTGCTTTCTATTTATCCACGTTCTAGGCAATAAAGAAATGGTATCACTCTACTTGCACAGAGACTGACCTATCTGTTTCAGGGGTTTCGATTTCAGAGATGTCCAGCAGAACACCAAGAGGTAATATATGTCGGTTCTCGTTGCTGGCAATCGAAGTTGCTTTCATTTGGTTAGCATGACGTACCCAAACTTCTGATCCACCTGATACCTCATAAACCTCATTTTCTTTCCTTTGCATGACTTGACCAGCCAAACATCTATGTAGGATGTTTGCTACTACAGTCCATAGCAAGTACTTTTTGACCCATGGTGAGCAATAATCTTTTTAACCCATGATGTCAGTTGAAGTGTTTCTTCATCGATCTGCTTCGTTGAGGCTCAAGGTCTGGGATAAGACGAATAGCCTCTAAATATTTATGTATTTTCCTGCCAAGTAAAGTTTCAGTTGTAGAGACTCCGTTAATTGTTTGAGGTTTTGGGATAGGACGATAGATGATCAGGAACCTCCCTGAAACCTTCGTGGTTTCCTCCTCTTTTGATTTCTGCAGAGCGTTTTTTAAATGCACCAACAAGCCATTCTACTTGACTATTGGGTTGAGGATGGGATGGATACGTCCGAAAATGATTAATTCCGTCCTGCCGAAAAATTCTGAGATTGAAGTACATAGTCTGCGTCCTTAAAACTGCTGAAGCTCTGCCTAGCAGATCTTCGAGGGCCATCCTCTTAAGTGGAACTTTTTAGTTTATTGTAGGACTTGGTCTTGGGGAAATTCTTCTTTTACCTCACCTGATGACACTAGTAGATGAGCTTTCACCATGGTGGAATGAACAAAATCAACTTGAAAAGGCCGGAGCAATTTTTTCTCTTCCACCCGTTTTTGTTTCAGATATTGGAATTTTTAGTGGTGTGCACAGTGCATTACAGACATGGTTGATTGGTTCATCCAATATTAGAAGTTTTTCTAACATATCTAGACCAAAGAGACCGGAGTTTGGTCAGTCTGTTAGAAAACATATTCTTTTAGAATTAATTCAGCTGAAAGAAAATTCACACTGTTGTTCACTAACAGGTTTCAATACATTACTTGTCTTAGGTGGTTTCATTGCTAGTCTCCCATTAAGTTCATACGTTCCTTTAGATATCAGGATCATATTGGATGCCATTTCAATTTAAAGATACGTTTACGTGCCGTTAGTTAGGATAGTAACACACTTCCTCCGAATGTCATCGTGTGTTCTAGATGAAGTGATTAGGACTTGGCTGACTTCATGTGTCGAAGAAGTTTATATTTCTTCCTAGTTTGGGACATACTAATGATTGGACGATAGCCTTTTTTATGTCCGCCTCTGCTGAGCATCTGACATTTATGCTTCTTCAATGAACAGAATCGTTTATAACTCCAACCACCACATAACCAACAAGCAGTCATTGGTTTGTTATCAGTTGTTTCTAATGTTCTTGGGTTCTGAGGTTTTGACCTAGTAATAACATTCACACTACTTCAGGTTAAATTCGGATTTACCTGTCCAATTAATTCATTGTCGTGACTGATGTTCTTCAGCCTTTTAGACTCATCCATCAGAGCACTATAATCACCAACTTCACGTCTCACCAAATTTAGAAACTATCATCGAATACTAAACAATGAAGACGATTCAACGAATATCTCTGACAGTTGGGTTACTATTTCTTCGAAAGTAAGCTTTCGTGGTAACCTCGACAGTGAGTGGTCAACGTAGCGTGTATATTCACTTCTCCCCAACTTCCTCATCAGCAATCGAGTCTTCCAAACGTCATCTTGTTTGCAGAATTCTATTCTAAGTAACTGCTTCTGTGACTTCGATGTTCATTTTGTTGTGCTAATGAAGTGTGGCAACTTGGACTGATGCATATATATGCCTGGTCCTACGTTGTAGCTGAGTGACTGTATCTTCTCAAATGTTGAATTGCTTGAAGACAGTATTCCCACTTTCAGGGTCATAAATGAATTCTGAAATACTTCTGGCAACTGTATCACAAGAAATAGTTCACATAGCATATGAACTCGAACAGTGAATATGTGTCAGAGTTTATAACAACTAGGTTTGTGAATTAAGTTGTACTTGCTACTGTTGTACAATTCGGTTGAGTTGGTCATCTGATATATGCATCTTCAGTGTGTTTCCCTTTTTTTCCCCTGTCATCACAGTTATATATGACGTTATTCGATCCAGCTATTCTTATTGCTTAGTATTCTTCTTCAGACATTTTGTTTTACTTGACTAGTCTTCGAGTTCTTTTGTTGTTGTTTTATTCTACAGAGAATACGTTCAACGTTAAATGAACGTGAACAAAGAAATACATTGAAAGATTTAGATGTTGTTATGAATTCAGCAAATTGTCCAAATATTGTTCTATTTTATGGTGCAATATTTACAGAAGGTGATTGTTGGATATGCATGGAAATGATGTCTACATCATTAGATAAATTTTATAAATTTGTTTATAATTATTTACAATCACGAATCCCTGAAAGTATTATTGGGAAAATTACTACAGCTGTAAGTTATATGCTTATATATGTGTATATGTATTTAAATATTTGATTGGTTACCTCTTTCCTTCAATGTTGTCTAACTGTGATATATTATTATTATTTATTTATTTAAACACATAAACATTGGTACAAGGAGGCACCAAATAGATATTCGCCACATAAATCACTCGATTTGTATGAGGGCTGGGATACTGACCGGGTGTTCAAATCGAAGCAGGTGGTTTTCTTAGGGGGCCACACCCCGAGCCTTTGACCTAAAGGTTTGACTTGCAAGGCAGTGGAGCATCGTGAGGAGATGCAGTCCCATGGTAGCCGGTGACCGAAAATTGGTTCATACGCCATTTGTTCATTCGGAATCCTGTAGCCCATATTCATGATTGGTTTGGAATTGTAGTTTTTCCGACTCCCCTAGGTGGACTCTGCATGTCCACCAACCCGGTTAAAGCGCCGGACATTCGGTTTTCGTTCTCTCAATTTCGTAAACAAGACCGGTGCCTCGAGAAGGTAGTGAGTAGGACTTCTGTGTTAGTGGTTGTGTTTCCGAGCGAAGATTAAATCACGAGTAACTTCTCAGACCTATTAATTGACTAATATTATCTATACATTCTTATGGTATAAATATTCAATAATTAGATTATGTATATTTATACTCCTCTTATTATAAGCTTTATTTTGACTTATAATTTATTATTGTACGATTTGCGGTTCTTAAGCTATGTTCAGTTTTTGGACTACTGCCTCCCACGTTCACAGCCACATTTAGCTAAATATTATACAAATGTTATTTTCTATTTTATGGTACGTTGTGGTCTGTCTGGTTGATATATAAACCGAGTATGTTTGAAATAAATAATTCATGTTTCAGAAGCTGGTGTTTGTGTTCTGGACTCAAGTGGACGGGCGGACCAATAAGGACGTTAGACTGCTCATGCCGGTAGAACGTCATTGGTTTGACACAGTGCTAAGATTGTATAAATCGTGTTTTGATTAGTGGATAAATCACGTGGCAAAAGCCGGACGTAAAGTCATAACGGGTTGTATGCACGTGGCCATATAAGAGCATTTGGAGATGAAGTGCTGACTCTCCCCACTCTCAGTCGTACTAAGGCATTTGATAACATGAGTAGAGTGTTCTAGACAATAAGAATTGACAGGAACTATGATTCCTATAATGGCTCCATTCTCTCAGCAGCCTCTGTTCCATCAAGACTTAAGAATACAAAAAGATAATAATTAACATATTTTACTCTGAAATGTTTCAAAATTCTTTATTACTTTTAATTAACTTAAACTTACAATAGAGAAATGACTGATTAGTTTGATCAATAGAATAAATTATACGATCAGATCATTCAAATCACTTGGTGTATGAATCAAGATCTGCCAGTAGAAAACTTCTTATTTCTATTTGACTAATCGGTTACATTTTTAATGTCTTACTTAACAACATTAGAATTCAAAAATATTGAAAATGATTATATTTGTGTAAGTGATTAAGCATTTATTAAGATATGCGAAGGTCACACGTTCAATTGATGACTAGGTTGTAGTTACTCACTACTCAAGAATCTCATAGTAGAACTAAATGAGGTTTTACCATTGTGCTTTGGTTTTAAAATGATACTCTAATAGTGATCAATTCATGAAGAATATAATTTATAAGTTAAATCACTCACTACAAAATATCTTTTCTTTTAGATTGAGTTTTGTTCTCTGAACTGGTTGGTTTGTTTGGTCGTGGAGCTTTCTACCGGAAGTTTATGCTCATGATGTCGTTCAGAAGAATGATGATGAAAGCTCTACGACCAAACTATCCAGCTCAGAGAAGAACAAAACTCCATCAAAATCATCTACCTGAGCTATAAATCTTCACCATCAAAAAACATCTTCAAACAAATTAATCATACATTTAATCGATCCATTATTATTACCTTATTTGGTTTTCTTACTGATTTTTCTGTTTTTTTTCTTTTACATATAAAAAGACTGTTTCAGCACTTGATTACTTGAAAACTGCTCTTAAAGTCATTCACCGAGGTAAGTAAACATGAAGTAGTAGTAGTGGTGGCGGTGGTGGTTGTAGTATGAGTGGTAGTTAATGGTGTATAGAGAGATTCTCAAGGGGATTGATATACACGTTACTTTTTCTATTTACACTATCCTATCTTAATCAAACAAAAGTTTATGCCTTAACATCAAGTCTCTAAACTACTTTTTTCTTGTTAAAACTTAGTTCGGGTAATTCACTTGGTATTGTTTGGCTTGTATCTTCCCATTGAGATTTAAGACTGCAATTGATCAGTCTGTTATTGGCATATGTGCATATGCCTCGATATTGCCTTAATTCACAAGCTTTTTGTAAGCAATGATGGATATTGGCTAGTAGTGGAATCCAGGACGCGCGTTTCGTCCTATTAGTTCTGGTAATTTTATAAAGATCAATAATAATTTAGTTGAAGTGTTGAAATATATGCTAATTGATTTACTAGTTTTCTTTTCACTAGTCTATTTGATTCGATCCACTGAAGTAGGTGTTGGAAGCTTCTTAGATTGTTTTTTTTCTATATTAACCTTTTGTGTTTTCTTACTTACTTACTTACTTACTTATGCCTGTTACTCCCAATGGAGCATACGCCGCCGACCATCATTCTCTAACCTAGTCTGTTCTGGGCCTTCTTTTCTAGTTCCATCCAATTCTTGTTCATTTTTCTCATATCTATCTCCATTTCCCGGCGTAATGTGTTCTTTGGTCTTCCTCTTTTCCTTTGGCTTTGAGGATTCCATGTGAGGGCTTGTCTTGTGACGCAGTTGGGTGCTTTCCTCAATGTGTGTCCTATTCACTTCCAGCGCTTCTTCCTGATTTCTTCCTCCGCTGGGATCTGGTTTGTTCTCTCCCACAGTAGGTTGTTGCTAATAGTGTCCGGCCAACGGATTTGCGTTTTCTTAGTTCCTATTTATCTTTCGATATAGGATTGTTTTCAACTCATTCTTACATTTTAACTATATTTGATTCAATGAAGTACATTTCTCAAAGAGTATTCATTATGTATAGAACCCATTAAAAATCAAGAAGCATTAGTTAATTATCTTAATTCTATTAGTCAAATTGTTCACCTAAGATCGTACAGTAGTAGATTGTATCCATAAATCATGTGTGTAACGTTGGTAACATAGTATCATTCAGTAATTTAACGGGTATTTATTCATTAGTTCACATTTCTTCCATGTTTCATGATTTCCAAAAAGATCTTCAATTAATTTAAATCCATAAAGAAAGTTGTCTATTTTCAAACGGTTACCACTGTTTACATCATTAATGTATATAAGTTTGATGAATATAATGACTGATTTAAGTCTTTTCTTTTCTTATCATCGGGTCAACATTTAGACGCTTACTTTTCCTAACAAAGTGTCAAGAATTAGATAGTATTATACACAATTACATTTATGTATATAATGAATAGTCTAGTTTTAATTACTTACTTACGTCCGTTACCCCCTCAAGGAGGAGCATAGGCCACTCACCTGGATTCTCCGCCGAACTCTGTTCTAGGCAATTCTTTCCAATCCACAAGCAAATTATTGTATGATTGTATAACATTCCACCACTTTAATTGTTTTGTTTTTTCTAATTTAAAAGATTTATGAAGATCGTTGAATTTTTGTAGTTTACATCCACAGACTGAATGTACCGAAACAGACATAAAAAATCATCAAGCACATGACAGGTGTTTTATTTCAGTATGGAAATCTTCAGTGGCATACATCCATAACTTTACCAGGTATCAAACCCAAGGACAGAGTCTAACTATCAGATCACTAAGCACGTATACCATAGTTTACATTCCTGACTTCAATCATGTGCTCACTATTGACTAACATGTAGAGGTAATTTCTGAAAGTTAGGCATTTACCTACCTATCGTATAAGATGATGATCAGATACCAGCTGAGTGACCTGATAGTTAGTCACTCGTCGCGGTACCTAAAAGGTCTAGCACTCTATCCGTGGTGACAGAGTCGTATATGCATGGTAATGAAGAGCCAGATACTAGGACAAAATATCTGTCTATCACTTCTTAGTTTCCTATTTTTATTTGGCTATAGTAGGTTTGTGATGTAAACCACATGAAAATAACAATATTTTAATTTGTACATCATTTGTCGACTACATAGATGTAAAACCATCAAACATTCTGATCGATTGTAACGGTAATGTGAAATTATGTGACTTTGGTATATCTGGTCAGTTGGTTGATAGTATTGCTCGATCACGTGATGCTGGTTGTAAACCGTATATGGCGGTAAGCTTTAATTAACTCCCTTGTTTATTTGTTTTTCGTAACTTTCTCAGATTTCTTATTTATTAGTCTATATATTGATCTAAATCAATGATTTATGTGAAATTAAATAGATTACAACTTTAGTTATATATACTTAATGGAAACCAGGGAGTACTGAAAACCTGTCATGTCCTATTGTGTGACTCTTTGTCAGTACGTATCTACGACCATAACCAAGGATTGAGTCATCAACTGTTAGCAACTTGGATAACTCTCTCGGTCTACCACATTGTACGAGCATTCCATTTACCTAAATAAATGGTTGTTCTGGTTTTCAAAAGGGGCGTCAGCTCCGTGACTTCCGAAGGAACTCGGCTTTCACCATGAGTTGTCATAATTCTTCTAAATGAAGACCTTCTGACTTCCAGGGCAGAGATTAAATGGTTTGAATACTTTTTTCTGATTAGCGTTTTTTTAGCGAGTTAGTTTTGTACGGGATGAGGTCGTTAACCCCATACTCAACCCTACTCCTTTATCTGGGCTTGGGACCGGTGGTAGCCCCAGAGGGGCTCCAGGAGGAGTTATAAACTATTAAGTCTTATGATAAACGCTAAACTTTTAAGTCACGGAATTGGATTCAAATATTATACATTTCTAATTTCAATCACATTGCCATTTCTCATTCTGGTTAAATAAAAATATAAGTTTTAAGCAAAAAATTGTTAATATTTAACTCATTCATTTGTTCTTCTACAAAATGATATCAAGACAATTAAGGTGTACATATGCGTGTGTATGATTAACTCTGTCATTTACAATACAATTCGTTTTTACCGTTATTTCTAATATCTAGGGTTGTATATTAAGACAAGTGTAAACAGTTTTCCTGTCAGGGTTTGAATTTTACTGTAAGAAAGTTTCATTTGGCTAATATCAACCCCCTAATAAAAATATATATATATATATATATATATATATATATATATATATATATACATAGATAGAGAGAGGGAGAGAGCGAGTGCTAAACGTAAATACACATTCACCACTGTTTAATGACTATATATCCTTTTTTAATGAGAAACCTTTCAATTTTAAGGTGAAACTATGGTCAATGTGTTTTGCAACAAATAAAATGTATATTCTCCATTACCACTTTTGAATGTAAAACAATATATTCAATGCTAACTCATATCTATGCGTATTATGTATTTGAAAAGAAACAATCATGTGCTATATTAAGGCTGCATAGTAACTAACAGCGTGATCCAATACATTCGTTTCGTCTAGCTTAAGACTTGTTAACCGGAAGTGCTTGAATCTCCCGGCTTTATGTTTACACTAGGAGTTGAAACACACAGATAACCAACAAATAAAAGTGTGAAGGAATTGCACCGATTTATTACTGTGTTATAACTGATGTTACATATTGCACCTAACATTCTTAGCATTGATAAGATAAATAACTTGACTAAGATTATTGAATCATGCATATTACATATAATTAACCAGCGCCTACTTCGACCCGTGAGTTTTACTGATGTAGGAGTGGATTGGAAGAAAGCTACGAGCAGCCAAAGTAAAAATAACACTCGTCCATGAAGTCACTAATTTCTAGACTAAGCTATGTCGGTAAGTACAACTCAGTTGATTAGAGTGTGTATAATAACCGCGATTGGTGTTTGGAGAGGCGTTGAATTTCATGGGTCAGAAGCAGTAACGGTGGGCGTAGTTATATTCAATCTCTTTCGCTTTTTGGACTGTGAGTTTTGAAGTTATCTCATAACCTTTATCCTGTAAATCATTTTTGTCAAATAATATTGTCTATACCTAATCTTTTATACCATTACCATTGATGTTGTAACTAGCTTCCACTACCCTGACAGTTCTCTTGATAATTTCAAGTTCTGTGTTACTTATACCATTACCATTGATGTTGTTACTAGCTTCCACTACCCTGACAGTTCTCTTGATAATTTCAAGTTCTGTGTTACTTATAACCGCTTAACTAACCTAAATAACTCAACATAATGATGGGCTGTGCTTGATTTTGAATTATTATATAAATGGTCAACAGAAACCTTTGTAGTGATATAAGTTTGATGCTAGGTGGTACTTTTCAGCAAAACATATCTGTCTAAAAACTTTGAAAAACACTAGTGACCCTCCAATAGTTCTGGAAAAAACTCCATCACTGTTTCCTACTGTCATAGGATGTTACAAATAAGCTATTCCAAATGTTATTCTCTATTTTCATGATTCTAGATACATCGTGCTAATGGCTCTTAGTTAATACGAAATTAAAGTTCAGATACTTAGTAGGAATTCAATGTCCCTATACATTTCCGAAGTTCCATTTTTTGTGTATTATGGTATTATGGCTTAGTTGACTCTTCTGGATCGTTAAGTTAGGACTTGAAATCTACCTAGAATTTGCACCACTTCATACATAAATTCGTAACAACAGTGATTTGAAACTTATCAGTATACTGGTTGTATTGTGTGTACATTTGCTGAGGAGTCTAACTGGAACTAAATGACTACCTATTACTTCCCTTTTGATTTCATGTATTAGTGGATTAGTAATTAAAGTAACTAGTTCACATTGAACAACCTTTATTGGGGTATAATATCATTATCATTAACTCTAGCATGGAAGAAATATATTACACAAACTAGTATTATCTACTTACTAAGTTATTGTGATCATTGAATCGTTGTTTTGTATGATTAGTTTTTTCGTATTCGTGTAATTGTTATACGCCGATAAGTATAATGAATGGTAACTTTTGGGATCGATTTATAGACCAATACTATGCATATATTTTTTGTCGTATGAGTGTTATGTAGTTAAACTATACATATTCATGTGCCTCTTATTATGAGCTTCATTTTGACCTATGAGCTGTTATTATACGATTTACCATTCTTGAATTATGCCTTGTCTATTAATTACTACCTCCCTCATTCACAGCCACATTTGGCTAATTCTTGTACAGATGATGTTTCATATTTTATGGTACGTTGTGGTCTGTCTGGTTGATATATAAACCCAATATACTTGAAATAAAGGATTCATTTCACAGAGACTGAGATTTGTGTTCTGGACTTAACTGGCTAGGCTAAGCAGGAAGCAAGATCAATAAGGACTCTAGACTGTTCATACGGGTTTACGCGTCATTGATCCGATCGATAAATCACTGCTCACTAATTGGCGGTATTTTCTTTACGTTATACATTAACAGGGGACACAGGTCACAAGTTCTAACAGTAATAAAATTTTAATTTTATGCCAATGTATTATTCTTCATTTTTATTATTATTACTGTTATTATTATAGCCAGAACGTATTCATCCAGAGTTAAGCGCTAATGGTTATGATATACGTTCAGATGTATGGAGTTTAGGCATTACTTTGATTGAATTATCCACTGGACAATTTCCTTATCCATCATGGAATTCCGTATTTGAACAACTCACTTGTGTATTAGATAATGATTCACCTAGTTTACCGGAATACTTACCAAAATCTATTCAAAATTCATCATCAACTACAACACTTGTCAATATTGAATATTCTAATAATTCAAATGAATCTTATTCATCATCATCATCATCAACAACAGATTTTTCATCTGAATTTCGTAATTTTGTTTCACAGTGTTTACAGAAAGATGTGAGATGTCGACCGAAATATCAAGCACTTATGGTTTGTTTTAACCTTATCTATTGTATTTTTGATAATGTTTCTTTTGTTCTTCATATTTACACATAGTTCACTTTTAATATACATTCTTTAAGCTAAGGTAGTTTATCAAACTAGTTAGCCGATGGTTTCACTTGTAAAGTTCCAAGCCTTGTTGAACCAAGGTTAATCTTAAAAATGTTAAATATTCACTGGTTGTTCATAGTAGTAATTTAATTGACAAGAAAGAAATTGTTGTTGTTCAGATTAACTGCTTATCCCCTTTAAGTGTAAATTTATTTATTTATTATTTTATTTAGATACATAAACATTGGTACAAGGAGGCACCAAATACATATGCGCCACATAAATCATTCGATTTGTGTGAAGGCTAAGATACTGTCTGGGTGACCAAACCGAAGTAGGTGGTTTTCTAGGGGGTCACACCCAGAGCCTTCGACCTAAATGTTTGATCCACAAGGCAGTGGAGCATCGTGAGGAGATGCAGTCCCATGGTAGCCAATGACCGATGATTGGTTCATACGCCATTTATTCATTCGGAATCCTGTAGCCCATGTGCATGATTGGTTTGGAATTGTAGTTTTCCAACTCCCCTAGGTGGACTCTACATGTCCACCAACCCGGTTAAAGCACCGGACATTCGCTTTCCGTCCTTTCAATTTTGTAAGCAACACCGGTGCCTCGAGAAGGTAGTGAGTAGGACTTCTGTGTTATTGGTTGTATGCACGTGGCCATGTGAGAGCATTTGTAGATGGAGTGCATAGTCTTCCCACTCTCAGCCTTACCAGGGCATTTGGGGCCTTAAGCATAAATGCCCACATTAATATAAAATTTCTTGTTGAATTTAGAATTTTTAACTGTTCGATGTCTTTAAAGTGTTCCATATATAAAATAATATTGATTAGTATACAATGACTACATTGATATAGACGATAGTAAAATCACTATTGAAAATGTTTCATAATTGACTGATCTTGAATTGTGTTCTTATTTCTGAGATGATGCCTTCAGGTTAACATAGTCATCAATAGCAATCTTTCTCAGATTTCCTAAGAGAAGAATATTCACATTGTGAAATGTACACTTTAAGTAGGTTATTTTTTAGATCGTATTAAATAACCCCACTGATATTCACCTTAATTTCCATTTAGAGCGTGGTATTCATTTACTTAGTAGTTAAGGTATTCAACTTTAAACTTATTATTGGTCACATTTAAGTACCACTTCTCCAACTTCAGTATTACAATAAATGTCATACAATCGAAGTGGAACTTAAAATCAACCACTAATTTAACATTTACATGGTGTATGAGTCGGTTACATTCACCGCTTAAAATATCTGCAATCATAATCTTGAGAAGGAATCTTAGTGAAAGATTGAAATTTCAGTAGACTAGAAAGATGTAAAACCTGTAAATCTTTTTAAGCTGTCTAGACTTAAAAAACAAAGGTACCTAATAACATTAAACTTACACTTGGGTGGTCTTAAACAAAACCGTGTACCATGAAATTACTGTATTGTTCATTACCCCTTATCATTTCGACATATTTATTTTTCAAAGTTTATATCATGAACTAATCTTAATTGGGAAACCGTTAAAAACCGGGAATCATTTGATAGCTATTTTGTCCTAGTATATGTGAACTTCTCAGCATCAGCGACTCCACGGGCGACGGAATAGATAATACTTGATCTCTCGCCGAACACTTGGTCTTCAGGTCACTGAAACGGTATCCATTGGTTTAAATTTCTAATTTCAATCAACTCATAACGTTTCACAATCATCTTCCTATACTGCTGGTAAGTAATTATTTCACATCCGACATGGTTAAACTTCATTGGTCACAGTTTCTCATCGGACCTCCATGACTAACCTTTCAAAACTCATCACTAATGTGTAGATAGTTATTATTTTTATTAAAACAGTAAAGTATTCTTGTATCGTTTGGAGTTTTTTCGTGTACACTATTACCTTGACGTTTAGATTATCCTCTATGTGTATGTTTACTGTTTTCTCTTTTTCACCTTCTCTTCTCTTCACCTCCTCTATTATCGTCGTCTATACTCTCTAGCATCATCCATTCTATTTACGTTCATTAAGTGAATTTATTGATGTTGGAAAATATTTTCAATCGATATTAAATAAAGTTCCTCCTCATATGAATATGAATGAATTAAGTCAAACTCACAGTTGACATTATGCCCTATCTACTTATTTATTTATATTATCCATGAATATCTCTTTGTTTTCGGAAATAACACCATGTATCATTCCAGTCACGTCGTATACTGTATACAGGAAATTTGACCGCGTAAAGTAAAATCCTTTTTCTGTTTTAAATTTTCCGCTGTGCAAATATTTCATTATTAGTACTTTAGATAAACACTTAAATGATTTAGAAAAAAAGCAACCCACAATCGTTTCTCATATGTGTATACATAACTTTGTTTCATTTCCATTTTGATTATTGCAAGTTATCTGTGTGGGGATACGTGTGTATTGAGTTGATTTGAGAGTGCTTATACATAAAAGTCTATATGGAGTGAAATCATTCTTTATTTCTGATTGCTTCCCTCATTGTTTTTTTCTAGAAAAAAAGACAAACAACCGGTTTCATTTGTTTCCATTGAAAACTTTCTTATTGTATAAATTTAGATATTTATTCAGATATTACTTATGAATTTGTGCAATTATTATAAGTAGTATGATAATAGTACTATCAGAACTCACTATTTTTTATCATTGTTTGGCTTTCTGTGTATATGCGTACTTGCGTAGTTCGACAATTTCTTTGTTTACTTGGCTGTGACAATCGAGTTTCTGTTAATCTATTGCTCTTAGAGACATAGGCGCCATCATTATATTTCAAATTTTTATGTTTTCCCATTACGGTTTTCATTATTATTACTAATGTCATAATCATGAATTTCAATTGCCGTGTTACAAGTTGTATAAATCCTGGATATTGTATTTGCTGAATGTTTTGTTATGTTATTTAATGTGAATATGTGTAAGATCTAGTTGTCAGTCGGACACTTATAATCACTGTAACGCCTGGCACAAATTTGCATTAACCCAGGTTAGCATGTCGTATTAATACAACGCTACGGAGTTTAAAAGTCTCAGTGGTCTAGTGATTAAGTGCTCACTCCCGAGACTGATAGGTCCTGAGTCCGAATCCCGCAGGGCGGGATCGTGTATGTGCACTGTAGGGGGGAGTCCCACAATAAAACGTAATGGCCTTCCACGAAGTTTAAAAAGAAACGGATAGCAAATGAATTGAAATTATTCTGATGGCAATGATTATGAGAAAGATTGAATCTTGAAAGTATTGTTCAAGAATAGTATAGTATAGTATACATTAAAGAATATTGGTATAAATGAGCATCAAAATGAATTTATACCAATATAAAGGAATACTGGAACTAAAAATCTTCAGTAATGTAACCAATAAATAGATCTGCACCATTGTAATCGATTCTTAATCATGTCACTTAACGTTTCGAACCGCTGACTGTAATTATCGTCTTCATCTGTGCTAGGTTTGAAGTGGTTACGAGTTCACTTAGTCTGCGAACGAAAAAAAGACTTGTGAACAAAGACCAATGAACTATCTATTCTATTGCGTCCCAGCCCTACTAACTAGAGAGACAAGTCGAAGTCCGAACAGGGAAGTATATTTCGCAAAAAACCAGAAGTACGAGCTAAAACAACAGACACAAATCAAAACGTATATATACAGCACAAAACCGTCCTTGGGAAGCGTTACAAAATAGCATACTAAAAGACACAACGGACCAATAGCGTTTAAGATTCTCCCAAATGGGAAATACGACATGAGGCTGAAGAGAGCGCTTTTGGTGCGAAACCAAAAAATTGAAATTTTCAAAATAAAATTACAAAATTAGGACCATTTTCAAGTGAGTTCTGGGGATCTAACGGCCCTAACAACCTGTAAGCATAGCTCAGATAAACAGTCAATGATTTAAGATATTGATTCTGTGTCTTGTTTTTTACCACCCTAAAAGAACCTATTTGAAATTATATTTAATCTCAACTTTAATTGAAACTAAAATTGTGGACTTTTAAATCACCGATTTGTGATTTATATTTAGTGTTATCGGTCAGTAACTTAAGCACTGACAACAATGCTTAAGTTCTATTAATCTATAGTTTTCTCACATAATATTGTACTAAGACATGTCGAGGCTTGTCTTTAGTGAACATAAAATCATCATTATTGAGATTTATGAAAATTGCTTTGTTCATAATTATCACCTCAGATTGTTAGTTAGTCAGTCATACAAAACGTAGAGCCTAATATATGTATTTCGGTTCAAAATATCACATTACATTAGGACACTGAAATCAGTCACAGACTATTAAAAATAGTAACAGTGTCAATGGTCCTGGAAAAGATTAGGAATAACCAATGTGATTCGAGAGGAAATAATGAATTCATGGGATAAATAAGAAAAGACAATAGGATTTTGAATCTCAGGATGCTAGAAAAGACAAGAGTGAACACATCGATAACATTGCGACCGATTCAGAAACATTTCATTCATCGTCTCTAATCTTTTGTTATTATAACCATGCAGATCTCAATTAGGTAATCAGAGTCTACTAACACAGCTAAGTTCAACAAACGATAGTTTAATAGACTAGTATGACGTAATGGTTTGTTCTATCTACCTTTCGCTCAACATATTCCTACATCAGCTGTCATTGTGTTAATTGATGGTTGCTGATACGTACTGAATATCCTAACCACAGTTGAAGTTAAGAAAAAAACATCATCTGATTTTTCATATTTAACGAGTATTCTTAGTTTAAACACAGTGTTCCCTAACAAATACCAGTAATGTTTGAATGGGATCTATAATCGAATACTAGGAACCTACAAATATGTTCTTCAGATTGATATCAGTTCGTAATTAATGGTTTACTTATTTACTGTTTAAAGCTTTTCATCTTTAAATCTAATAAATGAAATGGTGTTATATTGAACTCTATACTAACAACCATCATACAACATGAGTTTATCAACTCTTTCATAATATTCTTGTTATTTAGTTGAATGTTGTTGGAACATTTGGAACCCTTACAAATATTAGAGAATTATTGATCAAATTTTCAAAAAGTAGTTGATATCACTGTTTAATAGTGTAATCATGTCCATAGATCCACAAAAAGATCATTATATCTGAACATTTCGAATGTAATTTACAGATCAGTTATAAGTGTGTCGAATGTTCAACGTTTAAACTAGTTACATTGCTTGATCATTGGCTAGTGATTGATGTTCATCTGATCTGTAGTGTTTATCAGATTCTTTCGATTAAATTGTAATGCGAACACTAATTTAAGTGACTGGATATCATATCCACTTTCCCGAGAAGTTAAATGATTATACATAGTATCAGGAATCGCTGGACTCAGTTTTCACGAGAAATGACAGTCGTCAGCAAGTTTTACTTGGTATGTTATGGGGACTAATTCTCTCTGTAAGGCTTCAACTCGTGTCATCTAACTTAACGGTCTTCAAGATTATCATAGCTATTCTGGATGAAATAGACAGGTTTGACCTAAAGTTTGAAATTTGGCGAGTCGTAGATGCACAATACTGAGGTTTATACTAGGACCAAACACCTGTTCCGTACTTCTATTTATTTGTGGCATCCGTGGTATAATACAGATATATATGATGTTAAATTTTTCAAAAACAACATTTGATAGAGTCTCAATAGTGTTATTACAGACCATTGTGTCAGATAAATATTTATAATAATTCACAATAAGATGATAACGAAATTGATAGTTTTCTTCTACATTGTATTAGTCAGTCAGTCAGTTACAACGTTGGACCACGTACATACATGCATCGGTCCAATTGGCCACATCACATTAGCACAGTAAGACGAACACCAGACACATTGAAGTAGTTAACTCAATGGTGGTAATATATAAAAGAAAGAGTGCATATAATGATATAGTACAAGAAGTAAGAATTAGTTCGTAGAAAGAAAGATATGAAGGCATTTTCAATCTCATAGTTTAAAGGAAGACAGTGAGTGCATACACCTACAACATTGTGATCGATTCTGAATCAGGTCACACACAGTCTCCAACCATTGGTTACCATAGTCTCACGGACCCCAATCAAGTAGTCTGCATCTCCCAACATAGCTCAGACTAGAAGTTAGTGACTTAAACGACTGATCCCACGTTTTGATTTGGCCGCCACCAACTTTCTCCCAACCACCCCCTACACCTGTCAGTATTGCGCGTCGTGATAGTCGGTGTTCAGTCATACGTAACACGTGGCCCAACCATCTCAGTCGATGAACATTAACAACTGATTTACCATCATTCCCTAATACCCTGCATCTAACCTCACTATTACTTACCCGGTGATCCCAGCAGATGTGAGCAATATTTCTAAGGCATCTGTGGTCAAATACTAGTAGCTTACGAGTGTCTTCTACTCTTAATGGTCATGTTTCGCTGTCGTAAAGTAAAACAGAACGAACGGCCGCGCAGTATACTCGTCCTTTTATTGATAGACGGATATCTCACCTTCGCCATAGGTGACGTAAGTTGGAAAAGCCAAACGAGCTGTTCGAATCTGTGCTGAGATTTCGTTAGACACCAACCCATTAGGGTGGATTAGACTTCCAAGATAAGTGAAGTTGTCAACGCATTCAACTACTTCACTCCCTATCCCTAGTTTAAGTGTTGACGCAGACCAGTTCTTAGGAATGAAGAAGCGCATCCCAAACATCCTGGTATTGGTTCTCAGTGCTATCAATCGACTCTGCATTTTATCAGCGTCTTCACCGAACAGGACTATATCATCTGCGTATTCTAAGTCGATAAGTGGACCTTCTGGTAGGAGATCGTAATATCCAACTTAATTTTTAACCGGAAAAAATAAAATGATTACCAATATGTGTAATACACACTGTATATGCTAAATATTTTTAGGCATCATTGACGTAGTCATTGTTAGTTTCGAATCAGTCAGAAACAGTGAGGTATAACTTTCTGTTATGGCTTGTGACACTTGTTGGGACGGCTTCCAAGAACTACGACGGTGCATCCAGAAGCTCTAAAATAGCCGAATGGTTTCCATCCAATCAGAACGTGATGGAGCTTTCTAGAATATCAACGTGGCATGCTACTATTGAAAAG